CACACACACACACACACACACACACACACACACACACACACACACACCCTAAGACACACACACGCTAACAGTTTTTGAGCACCTCTCTGCACGTGACCCTGTGTCTATTTGTCTGTGTGTTTGACACAAGTCCCACCATTCCCTGCCCCACCCAAGAACGAGGAACCTGTTTGCTATTCCCGGCCTTTATTCTTGCCCCCTGAGACCATCAATCCAACCAGTTGCCTGTGACCTAGATTCTCTGCACTAATTACAATCCTAACGAGATCTAACAAACATACAACTTAGCACAGCTGAGACCCTCGAGGTCAATTAGTACAGCCCAGCTCAGCTCAGGAAATGGGAGATGGAGCCAGAAACTCTTGTACTTGCCTCACCCCGGCTCCGGCCCCAACCCCAGCCTGGGCTTGAAAGCAGCCTTGAGGAGAATGCAAAAATTAGCAAAACCAGCTTAAAAATAAGATCTTGGAGAGTTAACGAGTATGGAGAGAACTGCGTTAAGGTTGGGGAGAATTGGAGAATACAGATTCCCTGCTCTTCCTAAGTTATCAGGTGGGAGAGGCTGATGCAGCTACAGAAAGGAGGGACATAGGCAGTTTTCATTTTCGTAAAGACAATACGGAGAAGAGTAACTTAGAGAAGAGCAGGTAACATAGAACTGTTGATCTGCATCACAGCCTCCGACTTATTCCCTCCTCCTCTTTGCTTTCTCCTTTGGACAAGTTGGATTTATCTCCCCTGTCTTTCCTGCTGGTTTGGAATAGCTCTGAAATCACCTCTTTCTTTCAAAAATACTAGACTCAACCTCATTCTTGCTTTTCCTCTTCCATATAGTAAAACCATGACAGCAAACAGCCCCTTCCTCCTAAGAAACACAGAAAAATCTAAAATAAGGGTAATCAGTTTTGGGTTGACAAAGTGTTGTCGGACATTTGAGGATGATGCCTAAACTGTCTTCTAGATGAAGAATGAGAGGAAATGGCCACAAGTGGTAACAATGGGAATGTAGTTGCTTTTGCAAATTTGTCCTACCTGGCAGCAAATGCAGCGCAACAGAGAGAAGATTAAGCAGGGCAATGTGGCTCGTTCCCCGTTTTACTGGGTTCCTTTCTTTAGGTGGCAAAACAAGGCAGTGGAATGGTTGCCTGTCCTATATCCTCTGTGTGCAGACCAGTTGTCCTAACCTCATCCCTAACGCCTGTGGCTCTATCAAGGAGGGAGGTGGAAGGAGAGGGCTAGTGGAATCCTCTACACCCGAGTGGGGGAGTGGAATTGGAGCCGCCGCAAGAGCAGAATGTCCTTCTTCCCCCAGCCT